ATATCTTTAATGCTTCACCGCATGCTCCATCCTAAAATTTCCTGACTATAAGAAACAATAAGAATTGAAGAAGAAGAATATAAGAAGACGAATAATAAATATTGTTCTATAAGAAACAATGAGAATAAGAAACATATTCGTATGGTTATTTTCATGCACGCAATGGTCGGTGCTAATTAATGCGGTACTGAAATCTCAATACCCAAATCCGTAGAGTTTAAATTCTTACACATCAAATTCTTACACATCAAAATTTAACTCAACAATTACTCTCACCCTGACAGGTTGTTGTTGCAATCCATACATTGAGAACGTATGTTTGTACAGTGTTAGAATATTTATTTTAGACAACTCCGAGAATTTTGTGTATTTCTTTTAAATTGTGATATTATAGTTCGCTAAATCTGAATGAACACGAACTTTCTTTTGTTTGGGCGCTGCACTTCAATGAAATTGCACACTTTCCTTGTTTTCATTGCAGGTTATCATTGTTGTTTTCATTGCAGGTTATCATTGTTGTTTTCATTGCAGGTTATCATTGTTGTTTTCATTGCAGGTTATCATTGTTGTTTTCATTGATTTTGTCGTCACTCTTGTCGTTGGTGTTGTTGTTGTTCTTGCCATTACTGTTGGTGTCATTGCTGATGTTGTAATTTTTGTTGTTGGCATTGATGTTGTTGCCATGCTGTTGTTGTCTTTGCTGTTTTTGTCGAGTCTTGTTCACTTCTCTCAGTTCAGTCGTTCATCTAAGTCCAGTTGTTCATCTCAGTTCTCTTGTTCACCTGAGTTCAATATTGATCTCAATTTAATTCTTCACGTTTGTTAATCTCCTTTTAGAACCTGTTTCATACCAAATATTATAGATTTAACTTCAATTTTATGTCCAATGAATGGCACAAAAAACGTCCTTCATTGCATGAGTGTGCTGAGGCTCAGCTCTCTTTAGTAAATTGCGGCAAATTTCGTCTCCACTCACGCGCAATTCATACATTAAATAAAATAAGNGTGCTCGTTAATATTATTATTCATTTTTAAATATATGAAGATCATTCTCAATAACAGATAAAACTGGAAAAAGTTCCCTACAGTCCTCAGTTGAAATTAAATCCATTTACTTGTTTAGTGAATAATTTCTAACAGTTACACATTCTTGAATTTTTACCTGTAACGTTTTTGGGATGTGTACCGAAACTAATCCTGCAAATATTTGCTTGTGTGGTGCCGGTAAAGTTTAACGTGACGTAGCCACTGAAAAGTTTGCAAAAAGTTCTTATTTTATCTGGTAATTCACTCCCAACTAACTGATACGTGCTACAATTTCGATCCCGGGGATTTACGTGCTTTGTCAACTTTGGTTTTTCGAACCGATTGATGGACGCTGATATTTCCAGCCTCTCATACTGATTAACTGCGGCAAATTCGGTCATTTTGGGATGGGGTATTGACTTTTGTTAAAAATTATGTTCGATTCTATAATTATCATTCCTTGTCGTGAAAAAATACGTTCGATTCTACAATAATCATTCTTTGTCGTGAAAAATTACGTTCGATTCTATAACAATCAAGATTTTCATGAAAAATCATTAATCCATCATGGTTAATATGAGTGGTGATCTCCAAAAATTGACCTGAATTTATAATAAAATAATCTATCTTGGTCTGGTCCAATTAAATATGACCAATTAAGCCCCTATTGATTACCAATTAGCCTCAAACTGTCAAGGCCACAAACATAAATTTAATTCAAATCTGAGTTGCATTATCTACAGCCAATCAGCCTGCCTGTATTGCAAAAATTTAAACATTCTAACAGTATTCAACTAATAAGTTTATTGAAACCTTAAATCGCATTGTAAACAGTTTGTTTATTTATTTATCTATCATCTAAGTTAGCTTCTAATATTTTAAAAATATTAGAAGCTAATTTTGATGCTTTGATGATAATATTTTTAGCTAACTTTTTGAAAAATATTAGAAGCTAACTTTTTATATTTAAATTTAAAATATTTTTAAAAATAAAATTTTAAAAATATTATATTTTTATGGATCTTTTGAACACATGCCAAATATTATTCAAACAAAGCTGTACCCACGATAATGTATCCATGACGTATTATAAGAATTGTGTATGGTGAAGTTGTTTGAACATAAAGCTGAACGGCTGAGGTAGCTTCCCACGTAATCATGCACTTGGCTGTGACATATGATGAACCTATGGCGTCATTTTCAAGCAGAAATGAACTTTTATTTATATTATTGTCATTTTATTTTAATGAAATTAGGCAGTTAGGTCTCAATGTCGAAGGCCATCTGGTTGAAGTGATTTTATTCTCCAAGTAGAAAGTGATTACATTTTGGCGTTCAATATAATTGTTGCTCCAATTAATTATCAAAGCAACTTAAAATGAATTTGTTTATAATGTCTTTTTTTGTCTGCATTGAAAAATTATTTTTCGTAATTCGACAATATCAACAATAGATTCGTTCTCATGCGGTGAAGTGCACAATATCCGAAAATGAAAAAACTGATGCCAATTCTGTTGACGAAAATAAGGCTTGATCTGTTGTCGATTATAATGTTCTGAACATTTCTACTATCTAATTTTTCTTCGGCAGTGACACTCTATTTAATATATATTTTTTAAATTCTGTCGCTTGGTAACTTAGCTTTTTGGCCAAACTGGATTTCACTGTTGAAGCTTAGCGTCGTATTCCTGCAGAAGTTTTTCCTAAGGAGCTTAGCCGTCGTTATTTATTGGATTCTCTGACGTTATTTATTAGTTTCGATGGCGTTATTTATTGGAGTGAAGAGCATTTCTATGTGATGAGGGATTTCGATCTCCTTTATTTTCGTGTGTTGTTGTTTGTGAGCGATGTGTTGGTGAGTGATGTGTTGGTGAGTGATGTGTTGGTGAGTGATGTGTTGGTGAGTGATGTGTTAATCGTTAATATGAGCTCATATAATATTATAATTTTAATGTTCATTCCTCACCAAGAGACAACTTATACAATAATTGTATTACCAGCATGAAGTTAATATCTGTTGCGCATCTTTTTAACAATGATATCTTATTAAGATAATTCCCATCATTTTCCAGTGTTAGGTTAGCTAGAAGGGTGCCGGACCTGTAACTAGTTAGATGCATGCATGTATCCCATCTTATTGTCCGGTGACACTGCAGTACAATCATGTTCCAAAAACATTTTTTAACAGTGAACTGGATAGTCTTGAATTTCTGGAAAATGCAACGAACATCCTGAAACTTGGACCATGTTTTAATTGACCGAATAACCGCAGCAATTTAACTCATTTTAAACGGTTAAAGTTAGTGTGTGGTGCATGTGAATTGCCTCCTGCCAAGAAAGCCTTAAAATCAGTTGTTACTCTATGGTTGAAATGTTCTACTAGAAATTTGTTACTGTTGCAAAAGTGTTTGTTGTGGTTATGCAGCTCGCTGCTATCATCATTGTACAGGATGTCATTTACATGCCATCGTTTATCCAAGGGCTACTACCATCGGATGTTTTTTCTGGTATTCCTGTATCTGGTTTTAACAGAAGGGGAGCATCCAAAAAGCAACTATTTATCTGATCCCTTGCTTGGCAGAAGACATCGTTCTGCACTGAAGCCAACGAATTCCCCTAAAGTTGCTTCCTCCGTAGTCCCAAAACCTGGAGGCTTCACGAATCTCCGTAATGCCAACGCCAATTTTTCCCCAGCACCTTCAGAAGGTAGAGAAAATCATTTGCATTCTGTTGAAAGCGTAGATCAAAGTTTTGGTGTGAATAGCTTTACTCAACCCGTCTACAAGCTGAGCGATGCTGATATCCTCAGTAGTTTTAATCTGGAGAAAAATACCAGACAATCTTTCTCCATTGACAAGCCACCTCCTCTTCTCGAGATTTTTGAGAGTGAAATGTCGAGAAACTCGTCGCGGTTTAATCAGATTTATTTTGATGAAATCTATACATTAGCGCCTTCAATGCGTCCACAGACTGTGGTGCACAGATTCCTACATCGACTTAAGAGTAAGAAGAGGAAATTAGAAAAAACGGAAGCTACACTTCCTTCTTTGCCGTACTTTGACGTTGAAAAAAATCATCCCAAAAAAAGCTACAGCTGTATAGATAAGACGCTAACAAAACAACTCGTAAACCGAAGCATTGATCTTGTTTTCAATACTCGCGTTAAAACTAGAAGTGTCAGTCGAGAATGGGAACTCGATGAACTAAGATCAAGATCAGATGAGCATCGTACTAAATTGCCCAGTGTTAATTTTGCAACACTTTCTCGGGGACGCTCAATCAGAAGTACAAAGCCTGATAAAAATGTCCATTACCGTACCACAAATCTTGGGAAAGCTGAGAAAATGAAACTTATAACGAGCGATCGGATGGCAGCAAAGGAAATTAAACGTAACGTTCCCTCGGGCGCGGTAGTAAGCCAGCGCTCTCGAAGAAACTTTGCTGATCCACATAAATTCAACATCGATTACGTTAACTTTCTTGGTACTGGACCGTCGAATAAGAGAATTAAAGACCCAAGTGACGAAACTGAACAGAAAGATATTAAAGTAACTCGAACTTTGCGGGAAAGTGTGAGTCATAATTTTTACCTGTATCACAGGGACGAATTGGTCGTTAGGAAGCTCGCAGTAATACTTGGCAGTGATGGTTATGCAAACAATAAGGAGCTTTTGGTTAGGCTTCTCGAGGAAGAGAATACCAAAGCGTTGAAGGCTGTTGAAAACAAAGTGACAGACTATGCTCAGGAGCATGAAGTTCTGAATGAGGATTTAGAAGAGATGCAGTCTTTGGAAATCCAAAAGTTGACTACCATTTACTCAAAAAAGTACTTGGAGAAGAAAAGGAAAATAATACTTTCTAACGAGAACCAAATAAACACTAGTAAAAAACGTTTCGCAGAGAGTCGTTCGGGTGACCAAGGTACCAGTTTCACTGTCACTGAAGATACACCAGATTCAAAACCAAATCATATTATGAGTAGATTTCGAAGAGAATTTTCGAATGCAGATGACTACACGCAAGATATTGATTCTTTAGAGGTGACCAAAGCAGTCGACGCGGGAGCAACCGATACAAGGGCCCTCAAGAACGACAAGGGCCGTAGCCGGAAAACTTTCGTTCTGAAGATGGCCAAGACTCCACTAGAAGAGCAGGATGGTCCTGATGAAGACGAGCAAGTGAATGCGGGCGAAAATACTGGGACATTTCACGTTAAACAAGACGGGGCAATGGAAGGTGAATTGAACAAGGGTAGCCCAACTTTACCAGAAAATGATGAAAGGAAAATAGTGCAAGGTGCAGAAAAAGACGTTGGTGACAACGACGACGATCGCACCAAGGAACAAACCGGTTCCACTGGAAGCGAGTCAAATGAAAATGACCATCTAAAATTTTCAGGCATTGTGTTCTGGGAGGCGATTATACTACCCACCCCATCCATGGATGAGCAAATTCTGTCCTCTCAATGCAATGAAGTTGTCAAGTTCGCTCCTGACTTCAGCATCGTTCTAGCCGACAGACGAGAGGCGTTCGCTGCGTCCACCCTCGCTTCCATGATCAACGTACCGACTCTGTATAAGAGCACTCATGGATACCGGGACACTCAGCTTCAGGTGAGTTAAATGACCCAGACTTTTACCACTCTACTCAAATTAAAATGCTGAAGCACCCTGTTGTTCCAAGCACCAAAGAGTTTCTCTCAAATTATTCTTTTTTTTTTCAATGACATTCTTTTGGTTTCATCCTTATGGGACTTTGGTGGCCTTATCAGTAAAATTTATTATCAAGCTATGTATTCTAATACCTATAATTCAAGAATTAACAGCCTTTTTCCTTAGTATAATTATTTTGCGAAAAAAATAATGACAGAAAAACGTCAGGATCATTTTTCCCATATTGGAGTGACACGGCAGTAAAGGTGCTCCCTTGAAAATAGACAAAGTTGCAGGAAATTTCTGCATCGTGAATTAATTCATCATTTTTCTTATCTTATATCTCTATTAATGATCGTCTCGATTCCTGTTCATATCTCTCCTATCCTACAAATATCATTGCTTAGTGACTAAGTTATTTTTCATAACGGTGCTTCTTATTAGTTGTCTGATTTAATTACTTGTCTAATTAAAATTTAGATGTAACAATTATTATTGCTTTTAATTTCATAATTTTAATTTATTTGCTAACTGTTTCATGTGACTTGAACTACCGCTCCATACTGAGTAGAACGATTTCACATTTACTGACCTACTGTTTAATACAGAAAAAACTGTTTAATGTTTACTGGAATGTTGTTCCTCATTTACAGGAGTGCTTCATGTTTGCTGGATTAATTAATATTTTCATGTAAATAATTGTAATTTGTAATATCATGGCCAATCACAATCCGTTTATGATTTCGAATCCAGTTATTGAAATCAAATGGGATTTTGGAAAGCTCCAAATCTATAAAATATTTTTTGTTTTGATATATCTAGTTTGTCATAAAAACGCTCAAATTCGTTTCCGGATTCTGTAATTTTAAAAAGTTTTGATTAAAATAAGTCAATTATTTATGGTAACCGATAGTTCACTACCAATTAACGCCTTGTTAGTGCTGTTTAGCTAATCATTTGCATTAAACTAAATAGAAATTGATCCATGACTTGGCATTAGCGCACTATTGTCAGCTTTAAAGCACTGACAACTTTCAGTTGGGTAGCTCCAGACTTTTGTCGCATTTTTATCGCTGTCTGAGAGGCTGCGCGTGGGAATTCGTTTTGCGATGCGGTCCGAGGGCTGGAGTTGGGCTGGAGTTTTGATGCGGTCTGATGCGGTCCGAGGGCTGGAGTTTTGATGCGGTCCGAGAGCTGGAGTTTTGATGCGGTCTGAGGGCTGGAGTTTTGATGCGGTCTGAGCGCTGGAGTTTTGATGTGGTCTGAGGGCTGGAGTTTAGATGCGGTCTGAAGGTCGGAGTTTCTATGCGGTCTGAGGGCTGGAGTTTTGATGCGGCCTGAGGGTCGGAGTTCTGATGTGGTCTGAGAGTCTTTTTTGTTGCGATCTGAGAGTCGGTCTGAGGGTCTATACGATGCCCTCGGGAACCCTCGGTCTAGTTGTACGCAAAAGTCTTATCGCTTCCAGGATACACTTGGCTCCGAGTCCTACGCATCGGATTTGATAGGAAGCTGTAATTAGAATTGCCATATCTTGGACTAGTAACAAAACTAGAGTTTCATAAAGCGATTGTACTTTGGACTTCCTTGAATACAAATGGCTTTTTTTCATGGTTACAGATGGCTTTCGACGAAAATTGGTTTGTTTTACTTTAAGGTATAGTTCGTTTTCAAAGAGATTCTACAATTAATTTATACTAGTCGACTGGCTAAACTTTTTCCTTATTTAACTTTCAAATATTAGAGCTGAAGTTATAAAAAACATGAATCCTAATCGATTCCTTCGTTACAAGGAATCTTCGCTAAAAGGAATCTGGTGCAATGTGCACATACATATACATTTTTCGAAATATTGAAGATCTATTCGCTTCACTCTATGGCAATCTTCAGCGTGCTGCCTTGTGCATCAGTGTGCTCTAGTGTGCTGTAGTGTGCTCTAGTGTGCTCTAGTGTGCTCTAGTGTACTCTAGTGTGCTGTAGTGTGCTCTAGTGTGCTCTAGTGTGCTCTAGTGTGCTCTAGTGTGCTGTAGTGTGCTCTAGTGTACTCTAGTGTGCTCTAGTGCTGTCTCTTATACACATCTAGATGTGTATAAGAGACAGAGCTTATTGTGCTGAGCTGAGGGCTTATTGTGCTGAGCTGAGGGCTTATTGTGCTGAGCTGAGGGCTTATTGTGCTGAGCTGAGGGCTTATTGTGCTGAGCTGAGAGCTTATTGTGCTGAGCTGAGAGCTTATTGTGCTGAGCTGAGAGCTTATTGTGCTGAGCTGAGGGCTTATTAATTGTGCTGAGCTGAGGGCTTATTGTGCTGAGCTGAGGGCTTATTGTGCTGAGCAGAGGGCTTATTGTGCTGAGCAGAGGGCTTATTATGTAATTGATATTGTCTGTCAAAATTTTATCTTACGCGTCTATCGAAGCTTGTTTTTACTCTCGTTCTCAAAGTGCCTCCGTCTGTTCTCTGTAACGCCAATTAATTGATTCTATTCTCTAATTCTTTCCAATTTTCTTCGTGGTAATATTCATCGCCATGAATATTACCTCGTCATTTATGTTCTTAATTTTTTGTTCATCGAAAATGCGAATCTTAGTGAAAAGACTATGTAATTTCATATGATAGTTCTTCTTCCTTTATATATTTTTGTAATTGTAATTACTCTCCGTTAACTCACTTGGCCAGTTCTTGATTTTTGTCCTCCTATCATATATACTCCGTTCCTTTATTTATATTATTTCCTTCATTTATTCCTGAGCGTCGGGGTCGATCTTTTATCGTCACTTCGCTTGATTGGCGTAGTTGCTGGCAATCGCGTTACGCTCGTCATTTCTCTTCTCTTTTGACGCACCGCCAGCCTGAAGGATTATGAAAATATTTTGATATATAAATGAAAAATTTTGCAGTGAATATCATTGACATTTGGGCAAATTTTATTCGAAATTCACGTGGGAATTTCATAATTTCATCTTTGAATGTTAAATTCTTGATATTCCACCAATGGTTGTAATTCACTGAAAAGTAATTCGCTTTCGCAAAAAAAACTGTTGTGACGTATGGAGGGAATGTTTAAAAGTAAATATCATTTGGAAAATCGCAACAGATTTTTGTTTGCTTCTGTAAGTCAGAAACCTTTAAGCCTTTGATGATCTTATATCGAGGAATGATATTGACCTAAGAGTATTCGAAGTATAAATATTCATAATTACCTTGCATATAATAATATATTTTGAATGCTTAAAGAGTGTAATATTAACATTATTTTTGCGGTGAACTTGAGTAAACTTGAGTTACCTAGTGCTACTCGGCAGCTGAACTCATGTTTGTCTTTAAGTTTAAAGTCGCGGCGTAAGCAGGCTCAGCCAAGAACTTTAAATTCTTAGTGAAAGAACTTTGGAAGTAACCGAGTTTTTATTATATGTTGCATTTAGTTCAATTGTGCACTTAGGAAAATAAATGGGTCATAATATCCAAATAGTGACACACTATTATCCCACAGCATGAGCAGGGAACTGACGTAGCACAGATACGCACTATTGCCGGGCCAAAGTGAGTCAGTGTGACTCACAGATGGACATAAAGTGCATCGCAAAACCTCCATCGATTTTCTGCTTGCATTTTGTTTCTTGCTCGTTCCTGCACTCACACAAATGAATGTGTCATACTGTCCAAATAGTGACACACTTTCTGCAAGTGTGTCACCACTGATACGCCCCTTTTTCAGTGGCAAACTGGATCAGGATGGCACAGGAAATAGATGCATCGCTATTTGTACAAAGTCTTGCCCATTTCTCTCAGTGTGCACCCGCTTGAAGGTTTACGCGACAGCAGCACAGAGCTCGAGCGTTCCATGCACGTCTGGAATGCACGAGGACGGCGTCAGATGTAAGGTATATGCTCCATCTCCACTCCACCTCCACTCCACCTCCACTCCACCTCCACTCCACCTACACTCCACCTCCACTCCACCTCCACTCCACCTCCACTCCACCTCCACTCCACCTCCACTCCA